ATTGACTAGATTAATAACCTTATTGTTGATTTTATTGCAATACGTGTGTTTTATTTTGAATATTAATTTAAAACATTAAAAAATACTTTTGTAGAATTTTTGGTAAATTCGTTATATTTTCAAATAATAATTCCAACAATTATTACATAATATAGTACAATAATAAAAAGACGGGACACTCTAAATTACAGAATCCCACAATAGAGTTCGCGGTAGACAATTCCTTCCAAATTTATATTATCTATCTATAATAAATATTACATAATTTTTTCTACTGAATTTAGACGACATTTTGCCAAAATCCAGCCCTCGAACTAAATAAAGAGTTTCTTTATCTGCTTCCCAACCAGAAGTGATTAAAACGATGAGGAATTTAAGTTATTTTAGAGCTCGGTAGAACTGTTATTTTCTCGGCTTTGTCAACTACTTTCGTTTCGTACCGAATGAAAATTAAAGCGACTCAATGGCAGTATTTGTTGTAGCTTTCAGATATTTAACACTTGCTTGTGCTGTCTGTATCTAAATCTAAGCGGAGCAGAGTAAATAAATTGTTAATTGTTTCGGAGAAACTGAGATTGCTTTTCCATAGAGGTGCTTTTACTTTATATCAACTCATGGTTATATCGTCTTTAACTAGAATATTCCGTATATTTATTAAACTTTTGAATCGTTCATAAATAAAGTTAAAGGACTACCGCACTTAAAACTGAATAGTCGGAAGGTTACAAACAATTATTTATCATTTAGAGCTTGTTAAAACTATTAAATTGTTAGGTAAACAGTTTTTTATCATATCTGGTGACGTGGAGTTTCGGATTACAAATATGTTAAAATGGATATATATGATGTGACAAAGGGGCGTAGAACCTTATAGTTAATAAGATGGCGAATAATTGGACGGATGCATAAGTAAAGTACTATATACACCAAAAGTTTAATTGCTACTCCTGTAAAATAGCTAAGCCTCTTTGTCTTTCCAGCGACGACATATTCTCCTATTTAATTTGTGAAAATATCATAAGTAAACTATTTTATTTTTTAAAACAATATTAAACACTAAAATCGAATTATAACATTTAACACATTGCGTGCCACGTCATGCGTATCTGCCCGACAGTGATGTTTCCAGTCAGGCCACGTCGGGCATATATGCCTGACGCGCACTTTATCGTTCCAGGCCGTGTCAGTCAAGCATGCCCGTCGGTACGTGTATTTCCTTATGAAGTCTTAAAGAGTGGCCTGTGCTGAACATATTGGTATACTTGTTTTGGGAAAATTTGTTTACTTACTATTTTTTTTTTTATTTCAAATCAAACGTTGTATTATACTTAATTCCTCGAAAGAAGACAATGGTTATCTTGTGAATAACAGTAAAAATAACATTGCGCCTGATTGTGTTTGGCTGTTTGTTGTGTGTGTGGGTAAATTTTGAGTGTGACTAGTTGATGGTTGATCGTTTGTTGAATTTATTGGTGAATCAGAAGATTGAGGTTGAGTGCTTGCGACAGTTAGTAAAGCCAAATCATCGTTGCTGGTGGAGGGTTTTGGGTCACCATCCGTAGTTCGTACAGACCGAGGCTTTGACTGTATATAGTAGGTGAATGTTTTGTCGAAAGAATTTGGACATCTCTAGTGTCCTTCCATTTTAGAACAACTATTCTGTTTTTATTCTCCTTGGAAATTACTTCCCTTCTTTTGAGCTTTGCTAACATAACCTCTTTAGGGATGTCTTTCTTGTTATCCCGTATTATACCAACAATGTGAGTGTTATTTTCCAACATTAATTTTGCAAGACTATAACTAGTGTAGAAATTGTCAATGTACAGGGTTCTGCCTTCATTTAGGAGTGGTCTAGCAAGTTCCATGCACACTTTTTGAGCTAAGCCCACTTCTCGCTCACCATCTGTTCGTGGGATTTACATGGGCAAGAAAACTAAATTTAGCAAACCCCGGCGGGACTACACCGCCATTAAATCTGATCAAACGGACCTGACATCCGAAGCGATCAACCTCCCTCAACCTCTCAAGTGAGACAACCTCACAAGAGAGAAGTGGGAGAACAAAAGAAAAAGGTGAAGGGAGAAGAGAAGAGGAGCACCATCACTCCATCTTCTCCATCCCCCTCTCACCACTCATCGGCGAGGGAAGCTCTCCTCAAGAAAGAATCCAAACGGAAGCTACCTTCCCTACCTCCACTGGGACAACCTGGTGGAAGGGACGACCCACTGAGGCATGTACTCAGTGGGGCAGGGGTTTGGTGGTATCTTCGCTACCTCATTCAGGGCATGACACCGGAGGAAGCGAAAAAGAAAGCTGTGGAGCACAAATCTCAGGGAGAGGGAAGTAAAACCAATCCTAAGGATCTGAAAAGAAAGCGGGACGGTAATAACACCACACCACCGCAAAGAAAAGAAAAGGAACGTGGCCGATACTTCCGCTTCTGGCAGTTATGCAACTGTCGTGAAGACGGAGCGGGTCGCGATCCTACCTAAGGGGTTCCCTGAGATCATCCTCAGTGCGAACGAACAAACCTTGGTAAAAGAAGCCATAGTAGAAGAGATGTTCGCTGGTTGGGAGCATAAGCTTCAATTCGGAGGCATCCACTTCCGGCCAGGAATAGTCTTGATCGACTGTGAAACCCCACAGTCAGCAGAATGGCTCAGGGCAAAAATCCCACACCTGAGCAACTGGAAGGGAGTGGAGTTGGAGGTATGTGCGGGAGACGACATCCCGAAAGCACATACAGCCACGCTCTTTCTCCCAAGAAGTCAAGGGCAGCCTATGGAAACACAAAAGAGTGATTTTATAAACATTATTGTTTTGGCAGTTAGCCCCTTTATACACTTGCCCCTTCAATTGCGGATCTAAGTCTCGGATGTTTACAGTTCTTTACCTTTTTTATTATAAAGTTACTTCAATTGAACCCCCTTTGTGGCCACCCATCATCCAAGGTGAGTTTTTAAGGAATAACCCCTATAAATAAAATACTTTTTAAACTTTATATCGTTCTAATTTTGACAATATATTTTAGGCTTTTCAATCTCATTCTTACTCGCATTTTCACTCTTAAGTCCATTTCATTTAACGCCGTAACGATTTTGTACTTATTATTGAGCTCCTCATATCATTACTATGGATAATTACATAAATGAATGAACTGAACTTGTTGTCAAATTATGATTTAATTTTTGACAATGTTTCTTTTCATATTATAAATTTTATAGAAAACTCTCCGCCAACCTAGAGTTTTCTTATAAATATATTATGTAAAGAAAATAAAATTATTTACTTTAAAATATTTAACTACTAGACTAAACTTGTCTTCAGCACCTTTTCCTTCTAATAAACGATCCATAATCGAATTAATCGATAATCTAATTAACGTGACAAAACCATAATTAGCGGTATTATATGATTTACGTTCTACCACGTCTTATACAGACAAAAATCGTAATTCAGGCAAATAATTTGGAAGGGGCTAATGAAAAGTCAAGTGGCTGGCATATTTATTAATGCCCCAGGTTTCCATATCTCGCGTTTGTAATCAAGCAGACAACTTTAGGGCCACACCGGGAACGCGCTCGCAAACTTTATTGGAAAGAGAGTATAAACTCTTAAGTGCGAAGAAAAATTTGGATACGAGGTCTGTTCGAGATATTTGTGGTAATTTTTATGCGAAGATAATATTGTGAAAAACTTTAATGACTTTTTCTTAGTTCATTTTTATCCATCACTTCTATTGCCAGAAAGTTTTATTTGTATCCAAAAAACCGTTAATAGTACCAATTATCTTAAAACCAAAAGTTCGATTTAATGAGTCAATAAATTAGATTCACAATTAGTCAACAAACTGAATAGAAATAACACTTTGGATAAAAGTGGAGTGTTGTACAGGCATTGTGCAGGTTAGAGGTTACAATACAACAATACGATACAATTCCTGTTTATATTGGCAAAACTTGCAGGTTTTTAGGAGTCATGGATAAGAGAACACATCAAAAGGCCAACTAAATCTGCAGTTGGACATCACCCTAGTTTTAATGAACACAACTTAATTATTATTTGTGGCTGGTGGTTGTACATTCTTTACAAAATTTTAGCCGCTCTTGAAACACTTTTGATTCTTTGGTTAAGTATACTTGTAATAGTGAGTTACTCTGCCAAACTTCTTTATCCTTCTTCTACAAATTTTTGTTTTTTGTCGCCATTTTAGTTACTCTTCTCCATTTCTTCCTATTCATAATCTTTTCTATCCATCTTATTATTTCGTCTTCCCAACGAATTTTCAGTTTTTTATTTTATACTTGCCATTTCATTATCTTTTTAATTAGTGATATCCTTTTTTTTGTATCGCATTATCTTTTTCTTCATTGTTTTCTCTATATCTTCCTATCCAAATAATTCTGCGTTTGGACTTCACCTTAGTTTTAGTCAGCAAAACTTTAGTTCAACAAAAAACTCTAAATTATTAATCAATATTAACACAAAAACTTACTTACTGTCTCGAGATATTATCAACTCAATAGTGAGAAACTTTATATCATTTGACTTAATTATCAATCTTTTGTTAGTAATTTCTTCCTATTTTTAGGTTTACACATCAGGGCCTACCTCTGAGACCATTGTACCTTTTCTGTGTTTTAATTATTTGTTTATAATGTCTTTTTTTATGTTATTCAGCCTAACTATAAGTACGCTTATTGAGACTATAAACACTAGAGTTGAAGAGACGAATCGGCATACTCGAAATACCAGGCTATTCCTGCAAGTGAACCCTAGCAATCACCCTGCGCTTTTTTGCGACTACAGATTCGTACCATTCATTGATATATACGATGAAAATTTTCAAACAAGCTATTTCTTATTTTGTGCCGGAGGTTTGTAACGCCCTTGTCGAGGCTCTCCAAGATTACGTTAAGGTAAGAAATATAGTTATTACTAGTAGTAAAAAAATAAGAAAATATTATTTTATTTATTTCATTTAAAATAAATGACAAAAATTAACTAGAACCAAGCTGAATATCATCTTCATGTAGGTAAGGGGTTTGAAGGATGTCACGTGAAAACGGTTCAATAATGCTATCAGAGAAAATGGATGCAGGTGAAGGCGATTGGGAATAGGAAGGTGAAGGCGACTGTGAATATGAAGGTGACGCCAAATGGGATGGGTGAGGTGATTGATTCTGCGTCTGGCTGAGTGGTATGCCAGGTGACGATTGGTACGACGAAGAGAAAGCACAAAATGGCCTGGTTGAAGTAGACGGTTGTATGTTGCCATATGTAGCTCCAGATTGTGCAGTGTGAGGTTCGTATATCCCCATTTTCGCATCAAATAGGAAATAGGAATTTTGCACCATAAATATTGTTCGCGAAAAAGGTGGCCTGCGTAGCTTCATTGCTACTTGTTCACCAAACAACGAATATTCATCTTTGCTGTCAACTCTTCTTGACTGGATCAATCTCATAATATTCACCGATTTATCCAAAATAGGTGCATTGGATGAGGCAAGATTATCTGTAAGCTTACGTTTAGCGGATTTGGTCTTGGGTGTTTTAGGCGACTTGAAATCCTTGGTTTTTGGTACTTTCGTTGGGGTAACCACAGCTAGCTGATCCTGTTGAGAAGTTGCTGGTTGAGATGAAGCTTGGTTTTGACTTTTTCCTGTTTCAAGGTCTTCAACTTGTTTTTCCTTTTCTCCCGCATCATGGGCAATCGCTTAAGAATTTAACGAAAAATGGAAATATTCAAACTGTGTCGGAGCCATAGCCGGCAAGCACATCGCTGTGAAAATTCCTATTCACACGGGCTCAGAATTTATCAACTAGAAGGGTTTTTTTTATTATCGTTTTGCTGGCTGTAGTTGACGCAAATTATAATTTCATATACGTGAATGTAGGTTGCCAAGGGAGAATTTCCGATGGTGGAGTCTTCAACAGTATGTTGTTTGTAAAATGACTTGAAGAAAACACTCTCCGAATATAATGAAACCCTACAGTGGGTTACACAACAAAGGATCAAATTAAAGAATATTTGGCTACAGATTGAGCAGGGCTCGCAGGGTTTTAGAAAATTCATTTGGAGCGCTAACGACAAGTTTTCGAGTGTTTCAATCTGCCATGGAACTGGATCCTGATACGGCAATGAAAGTGACCATGTCTGCTGTTTACCTACATAACTTTTTGAGAAAAAGCACCTCCAGAACTGTCTATAATTCTGTCGGACTGTTCAACTGGGAGTCTTCGAAAAATGGATAACTTACTGCTGGACTTTGGAGGCAGGACACTTCTCAACTACGCGACCTCGCAAGAGTTCCAAGAAAAAATAATTTAATGACTCAAGCAGTCAGGAACGAATTTGCGAAACATTTTGTTCCTCCACAGGGCGAGCTCCGTTTCCAATACGATAAGTAAATAAATAATTATGTACAAGTATACTTGTTAATGGAAGCTGTAATTTTACAATAAAATGAATCTGTTTGTAGTGTAAATAAATATACTAGTCTCACGACAAATATATTGCGCCTGAACCGTCATTATATCATCTGGTACAATGGGGTACTTTTTGTACCCCTTCGGTCAGGTACGTAACATTATTACCCTTCGATAGCGAAAGGTTAAATGGATTTTGTACGCCACTGGATAGCCGCCAGCATTCCAGTATGACAAAATCTCAAATGAATTGACCAAACACTAAACAAAGTTACATTGTACGATTTCAGAATAACAAGCAAATCAGACACAATGAACATATGAAACAAAGTTGGAGGTCGGGGTGGAAAATAGGAAACAAGGTTGTTACCTAAGGAAAATAAGAAACAAGCATCGTAACTGGTGAAAAATTGACATTTTTGCCACGTACGAACATTTTCTATGAGAAAATATTATACACACTTCAAATTAACAAAAAAAAAATCTCATTATAATCAGCAAATAAAATAGTCAAGTTGACCATATTTTTTAATGAATTTTAATTTAAAAGTATTTTAATGTGTCTGTATTAAATATCAATGTATTGTTATTTTTATCATAATCCTTAAGATAAGGAATGGTTATCGTATTTTTCACAAGTAGGTAAATTTCGATATTTTCAGACATTTGGACTTAGGATCTGATTGGAATTTTGTACATCACCGAGGAACAAATAGTCAATGCAGAGGGACGAATTAGCAACATGCATGATTAAATCGTCGTCTGAGACAGGAGCATACGATTTTTTTCTATTGGTGCCAGTATATTATTCTTAAGTTGTAGCAGTTTTTGTCATTCACATTTTTATTGATTTGTGTCTGGTGTCAGATTTTGTAAAAATTTGTTTAAAAACTTGTGACCTGATAATTGCCTGTCAAGATATTTATTTCACTTTAAATAATTTCGTAATTCCATATTTTGTAAACTTGTACCAGGTCTTCAACAATACCCGAAACCCACGTGATCTGGTAGCATCAAAAACACAGCGAAAGGGCCTGATTTGGTTCCTTATATGTCAACTGTCGTTGTCAATACTGTCAAAAATATCATTAGCGTTCATTTGGGTTTTTGGGTATATTTATATTATTTAAAGGTTATTGATTTTTTGCTTTTTGTCAACACGCTTTTATTCAATTTTTCCTCAAATAATAATAAACCAATTAGTTCTTTTTAGAGCTCATTAGTGCTTTCATTCTTTTCTGTCAGTAAGTGTAAATTTATTTACTTTTATACAAGTTTATTAACAATATAATTTTCAGATCAAAATGTTTACACGGATTCTCGAAATGATGATGGAACTTGGTCATATTCAATTCAGAGTTGCATTCAACAATTTGAGGAACGTTTTTCAGCTGTACAAATAGAATATGATAGTTTTCGTCATCATAGACATATTCTTGTTCAACGTTTTGAAACAAAAAATTGCATTTGTAAAGGAAAGAGTTCTTGAAGGCTCACAGTAATAACCGAAGAAGTTGTTCAAGATGTGCGAATTCGCATGGAGCAAAGTCCCACTAAATCGGTGAAAAAATTAGCAGCTCAAGCAGGTAAGAACAGTGTTTGGGAGCTTGACTCTCTCATAATCTAATTTCATCGTTTTAGATTTATCTGTAGGAACTAGCCATAAGATTTTGAAAAAAAAATTATCAATGCATCCTTATAAGGTTTCAATACTGCAACAATTGTTTCCTGGTGATTTTGTTAAACGTATGGAATGCTGTCGATGATTCAATGAGCAATTAAATGACAATAACTTATTGGATTGAACTTTTTTTACTGATGAAGCATGGTTTCACTTTTTAGGATATGTCAATAGTCAAAATTATCGAACATGGGCAACTGAAAATCCTCATTCATTTGTGAAGACAAGTCTACATCCCATAAAAGTTGGTATTTGGGTAGCAATTTCAAGAAGAAGAAGAATAATAGGGCCCATATTTTTCTATGACACAATTAATGGCCAACGTTATCGAAATATTTTTCTTGAATTTGTTGAACAGCTACAGGATGACGAGTTACAATTGGGTTATTTTCAACAAGATGGGGCAACAACTCATACAGCTAGAGCTACTATTGATCTAATAGAAGAATATTTTGATGACCAAATTATTGCTACATCTTCGTTGATCTTTTCATATTCCAATTGTATTAGTGATGATAATTTTTTGTACATAATTATCTCAACCAATTTCCAAAGTATAGTCTTCTCTTACATATGTCTCCAAAAGTAGAGGCTGTGAGACGGGATTGTCTCTTCTCAAACAATTTTGGATTATTACTCTGACCTCTTGTAGACTGTTCAATTCCGTCAGCTTCATCAATGAAGACGTCTAATAGTCCTACTTGTTGGTCTATTAGCTTTTTGACTTCTTCTTCGCGAAGGTCGGGTTTTTGACAATGTAATCTTTTTTAGAGATTGAAGTTTCAACTTCTGTTTCTTTTTCTACATTGTTTTAAATTGACATTTTTCCTGCTTTTTTTATTTACCATCCAATTGAGGGTATTCGACGGAGTCTTAACAAATGTTTGTCGGTATGTTTTTAAAAATCAACTGGGACCAAATTGGTAGGCTAAACTTGCAATGCTGCGAGTTTAGCATTGCATCTTGTATTAAAACTATTTCTACGGCCGTAAAATGACAAGGAATGTAATTGAATTATTTTACATTTTGTTACCCACATATGTTATTCCTAATAGGCTTATTTTGGGGACATAACAAATTGCTTAGATTTTGCCAATGATAATCCTTTGCGAAAAATAGCTGCTAATATTTTTTAAGTCTTTTTTTAAAAAGAAATTATATCGGACAAAACTGCCAGTTATCAAAATTCTCAATATGTATGAAAATATGTTATCTTATCGCTATTTCTAGAACTTATTACAAAATAAAATCAAAGGTACAAACAACTTAAATTGGAGTAAAAAAATCTTGTAGGTACTTATGTGCTTCATGCGTTTAATGTCAATACAATAAATTATTGTTGTATTTTTTTATGACATAATTGTATTGTTTAGATTAATAACATTGTAAATTATTTTAGTGATAATAAACTGTTGTGATAACTATTAATATATTAATAATAAATGTATTGAAATCAAAAATATAATAGTAAATATTATTTGTTTTTTAAATGTTATATTTAATATTTCATGCCTCAAGAAGGTTTTAAAATTTTTTCGGTTTTTAAAAATTAAATAATATCTTTATAAAAAAAATGTACTTTTTAAAACATAAAATTATAGTTAATCGATAATGCGATACAAATCTTACGGCATCTAATGTTACTTTTTAACTGTCTTTGCGCAAGTGCAGACAATATTCAACCTGTAAGCCGTCTGTTGTTTATTTACTCGAAAGCTCAAAATTTAGCCTCTATTGCAAAGTTAAAATTAATTTTAAACGATTTGGCGTTTTTAACTCTTGTAAGTAATCCACACGTAGACGGACTTTTTTGTTCGTCTAACTAATATGAATGTAACGATCAATGAAATACCGGATATGAAATGTTTTTAAGAGATAAAGGCGTCTATGTTTAAATTAGCATCACTATATTGATGCGTCGAAAATTATTAGCATCGTCATTTTTATATCTCTGATTTTTAAATTATTAGTTATTTTGCTCTTTCTTATATAATAGCAGCTTTATTGCTTTATTTAAAGATAATAAACAAATTAGTTGGGAATCTTTATTAATAGGGAGGCTAACGAATTTTTCTTGCTAAAAAGATTAAAATTGGAATGTATACAGAATTTAAATTAAAATTCAATCAAGTAAAGATTATTTAGTGGGTAAATTTAATGATATCACTAACCTAAAATACAAATCGTTAAATAACGACAGTATGTTAGCGTTTAACTTAGAAAAACGTAGTTTTTACAAAGTACCTACTTTATTTTTCGTAGTGTAAACGAAACTAAATTTTTCCTTGATTTTTAACTAAAATTCAAGTAAATCCTCAGCCCTTTAAGCCATTAGTGACTAAAAACAGCTGATAA